CGGACACGCTTTAGCGCTCCGTAAGGCACGCCCCGAGGCTCCCTGAATTTTTGTACAAGAGATATTCAATTTTCTAAACAACACGGCGCCGACATTGATAACACGCTCGAGTTGTCCTGCGCCGGGCGCGGTATCACTTCGATTACGATTAATCACCGAGAACGTCATCCATGTGAGGTCACAATCTACAATTCCGCTAAGTTAATTTAAGTAACAACTAGGTTGGGCCCTTAACATTACCATTAGAAAATACAATATTTATCAAAAATACAAAAGTGCGAATAGCTCGATTAGTTCTTTTCAAAAACGCTCGGCCGGTCGAAACAACGTTAATATAAAAATAGTTTAGGAGTTCTTTTTACCGTTTACTGAATCATCTGCAAGTATCTGTTCTCCTCGAGTAACGAGCTCAATGAGGAGGACATGTCGTTCACCACCATATTGGCGCTAGTCGGCAGTGGTTGCGGCAACGACATCGGGTGAGTTGAGCTAGAGACGTTTGTCTCGTGAGTGCTGGCGTTCTCCGACCAGTTTCGACACTGTTGCACGTACTCCAGTGTCCTTCTATACGAGTCTTGCCTCATCCCCAACGGAGGCTTCATCGGGGATCCTTGTTGCGATTGGCTGATGTCCCTGCACTGAATTTCCGGTATGGTCGCTCCAGGTTGATCGTGGTAGCAGTGATCACCGTAATTCCACTGGCAACTGCAAGTGTACTGTTGATGGTTAGGCGTGTTCGTGCGAGCCTGGCAGTTGCAGGTCTGTTGCTGCATCCTGCAGTTGTTCTGCTGACCGGTGCACAGCTGCGGGGACATTCTCTTAAGCAAGGTGTTGTCCACGTTTGACCGATGGGCTCCGTTCGAATGGGAGCAATTGTTCATTTGCATGCAAGGGGACACTGGCTGCGGTGGAGTTTGCTGTGGGCAACCTTGGAGACCAGTCATGTTCGCCACTTGCTTCGTTTGATTGTTGATGTTCAGCTGGGAGCAGGGAGACGCCATTTGTGGACACTGATTTGGAACTTGGGTTTGCGGGTTCGAGTGAATGTTCGACACCTGACCATTTGGTGTCATCATCGGTCTGGTGCATTGACTGTTCTGTCCGCATTGCGAGTTTGGATGGCTCACGTTAGCCTGGTTGTGTATGACTGGTTGCTGGTTGCAGTGCATCGTCATTTGTGGACAATTCGCAGCAGGTCGGATCTGGCCGCATTGTTGCTGAGTGACGCTCCCGTGATTTGGAGGAACGCACGATTGATTCGTGTGATGGTTCATGTGGCCGTTGGGGTTTCCGGTGCAATTCGCGTTCACCTGACCCTGGCAACCGTAGCCAGGGTAGTAGCCGTGATGCATGTGGTTCTGAGGGCAGTTTCTGGTCATTTGAGCAGAATTCTGAGGGAGATTTTGAGGCGCGTGTTGAGGTGCCAAAGCGCCCGCCGCTGGGGATGTTAAAGGCTGATCGCTGATGTGACTGGGAGCATAATGAGATCCAGGTGACATAACTTGCCCTGCTGCTGGACTGAGCACTTGGCCATTCGGTTGTGACGGGTAGCTAGGAGCAGGACAGTATTGCGAATTAGATTGGGCAGATCTAGAGCTGGGACATTGGTTGTATGGAGATGGAGAGGTATTCTGGTAATTCGTGCAAGTCGATTGGGAAGATGATTGCTGGGCGTAGCAGTGCTGCTGGTGGGACTGATTGTAGTTGCAGGTGGGTTGCACTTGGCGCTGACAGTGCATAGGATTACTGCAGACTGGAGATTGGCAAATTGGAAGGGGACTGCCGCGGTAGCTAACCTGACTTCCACCTACTTGTACCTGGAATACATAACAAGATCAAATTATTTTATAATTCGTTATATGGTGAACTCAAAGAGATTTAATAACTGGGCTACTATATTCAAATACAAACAGCGATTAATTTTACCTGCGTCAAATATTGCATCATCTCATCCGGAATAACTAGCTTGTTTTCCACCATTTCTCCTTCCCCGACTTCATCTAGAATCACTTCTTGATTAGGATGACGCTCGGGAAACTGGGCTGATCTAGGCCTAGGTGGCACAACTGGCGAGTTTCTTTGAGTTTGTTGACCCCTAGCTGGCTCAGACATGCGACGGTCGCCAGAAGGTTGGGTACAGTGGTTGGCTGGACCAGACCATTCGCCGGGTACTCCGTGCAAGCCCTGAAAATTAATGAAACATTTATTTCTCCCGTAAAACCTGTATGAAACAATTAAAAATTAAACATTCTTTACGAAATCTTCGTTGAATTACCTGAAGGGACATGTTCTGCGTCTGGACAACAAGATTGCTTGTCGAGTACGGTCCTTGGAGGTGGCTAGGAGGATTCATTCTGCCAGAAGCGGTGCTTAATTGACTGCTTCTTCTAGACGTGCCGGGGCTGATGGGATCGTAGAAACTTCCCGGCCCCACGTGGGCCATTCTAACGGCGCTAACGCCGCTGGCCTGACTGCTTCTTCTACTACCGAAGTCCGTCGACTTCATGCTGCCATAGTATGTGCTCACGGTGGTGTTGCTGTCTCTTCTTGGCTCGTTCAAAGGCTGTAACCTAAGTTGGAGATCCGACAGGTTCGTCTGACGGGCAGAACCACCGCCTTCCATCTTCAGGTCGGTGATCCTTCTGTTCAGGTCACCGATGTTACCCTGAGGAACCACGCCACGTGTTCCTCTCAATCCGGACACGACGGGTAGGCTAGGCATACCCTTCACTTGTAGTCTTCCTTTTAGACGGTTCCTCGACGCTGGTGCTGGGGCTTGTTGCTGCTGTTGTGACTCCATTCCACCGACCTAAATGCGATTTGTTGTTACGTTGTTGCATATACAATAGACCTTAGTCGTGCTTAGTTCTTTTATCTAATTGTGACTATTTATTAAAAAATGTCTAAATAACTTAGAGAAATAAGAAATATAAAAATAATTTCAATCAACTTGAACATAGATGTAAAATAGTTGTCTATGTTCTGAGCTTCCATTTAATTCTACTTTCTCATTAATTTATCTTTAAAATCTGAAAACTGAATTGTCACAATATTCATAATCTAGTTATTATCAATATCTATTTTTCTATATCTTCGATATTAAAATCGGAGTTAAAATAGTGCTCTCTGAATTAATTAGTTCCCAATTTTCTCTACGTTCGTTTACTTTCAAGACATTTTTCTTATTTCATCAGTGACTCGGTTTGATTACTTTATGCAAGTTTCAAACTTACCATAGCACGAATAGCAACCGGGAGATCGGCAATGTCCAAGTCATCAGGTTCTTCGTTCCAAGGTTCCTCGGCGAGCGTAACTCCTTCACCGGTTAAGGCACTAGCACCTGCAACCTCGTCGTTGCAGCCACCCATCAACGGGCTACCTTGTTGTTGCATCATGCTGGGTGGACTATTCGCTTCGCTTTCAGATTTCACGCTGGGACTCGACAAACTCGGCGTCTTAGGATGAAGATCCTCGCTTCTACTGGGACTGTTGCCACCTGCGCCAGCTTCGTCGCTTCCTCCGCCATCGCCGCCACCGCCTTTGTGCTTCTTGTTAGCGTAGAATTCTGCGCCGTGCACCGTTTTCACGTGTTTCCTCAAGGATGACGGATCGGTGTACCTCTTGGTGCAGCCTGGCGCCTTGCAAACGTAAGGTTTCTGGAAAAGCATTCAGTGACAACCATTAGTTTCTGAGACAAGACTTTCATCTTCTTGTTCACGGATTCACAACTCTGTAAAATATTCGAGTTCTTCCTTTCCTCCTAGTTTTTATACAGGGTGTATCCTTCTGATTCGTTTGAAAGTGTTAAAGTAATCTTTCTTCTGACGTTTCTTAATGATTACCTCGTTGGAGTGAGTCCTATTCTGATGTTTCGCGCGATCGCTGGCATTGCTGAACGCCTTGCTGCAACCGGGATATTCGCAGGTGTACGGCTTTTCTCCGGTATGAGATCTCAGATGCGTTTTCAGGTTCTCTAGTCGCGAGTAGGCTTTGAAGCAACCCTCAAACTGGAACCAGTCATTGGAACATTAGGCACCAAGTATTGGAAAGTGAATTGTCTTTTCGTGATTTTGTATACTTACGGTACACTTGTGCGGCTTTTCTCCGGTGTGTCTTCTCATATGCACGACCAGCATGTACTGAGCTTTAAATGGCTTTTCTTCCCTCGAGCATTCTTCCCAACCGCAGACGAAGCTTTTCTTATTTGCGTGGATATGGTCATTATTGATATGTTTCACCAGATCATCCTGTAAAGATACGAAACACTATATGAATGAATATAAAATATAAAATTAACAATATTATCTCTGTATGCTTTCCAATTTTGTCGAATAATCTAATCAGAATTATATTATAATGATATAAATGAAACGTTATAAATACTGCCAAATATATTTTATCATTATGAAAAATGTCTATTGTAAAGATTACTCTATGTCTTCGGTAGTTGCTACACGTTAAAGATGGAATTACTTCCGTCCCAATAAATATTACATTTACCTGAGTTGGAAATTCGAGACCACAGTCTCGCCAATGACAATTAGTTTCAATGAAGTCACCAGGTTCATCCCGAAGATCTTCGCTAGGACTGAGTCCCTGAGGATGAGTTGGTGGCGCAGTCGTGGTCGTCGTGTTCGTGGTAGTGGTCACAGGCTCCCTCTTCACCTTGGCAGAGGCTCTCCTCGAGGACGTGTCTGCTTCCGCTGTCACCGACCTGGCTGATGATTCAGAAGCTTTTCTGCACGATTCAGTACTCTGTGAACAAATAATTGGTATTTATTGAAAAACTTGTATTGCACTCTGTTATATTATAATGGCTTAGAAAATAACAAAATGCAAGCAATATTAGAGTATTTAATATCATTACATTTAGAAAGAAGAGGAATTGAAAGTAGTTTATACATTTTAGTAAAAAGAATAGCAACGGTGTAAATATTATAATTTTATGATTACACGGATGAAACAAAAATGATTATTAAAATATTTGGTTATTAAAATTATGTAATTCTGAAAGTGATTGCGAAAGAAAAATTGTAATCTATTTAACATATTTTAATAGTAACGCCATGGTTCGCTATATTTAGTCTACAAAATCTTAATATTGGAATATTTTATTAAATCTGCATATTTTACGGGTACAGTTACATTAGATTAAGTACGAATAATTAATGAAGAATTTTAAACGACTTAAGAGAGGGTAGCAATTCCGATTTACAGGAACACTCAAACACTCATCATCATCCGCTGCAACGGAAACTCGTCCCGCCGAGTGATCTCGATGCTGCGTGTCAAATAAATCAATTACAAAATCGCGTGACTGTATTGCCAGCAATTTGCACTAACACAAGACACCATTAGTTTCATTCAGGGATTCGGGATCGGCAATCCTTAACACCCAGGATTTTCTAAAACAAACACATCGCTCGTGCGCCATCCGGGAAACCGGCCCAGCGACACACGATCCGCACGCGATCCCGCAATTATCGCACACTTATCGACCGGTGAACCGTTTACCAACGTTTCGGAGGTGAATACACGCGTTGATATAGACGTAACCCCGAATATTTCCGCCTACATAAGATCTGTACATGGATTGTGCTCGTTAAAGGCCTCTATATACGATGAGACAAACACTAAGTCGTATGGATAAAAAAAAAAGAAATGCTTATAAATATTAAGTAGAAGTAAACGCAAATGCTAAATTTCGTGTGCATAACCTTTTACTAATTCTAGACATTAAGCGATGGAAACTTTTAGCACAATCGAGTGGCATATTTAAAATTATGAAGAGTTTACTGGGGAATTGCTTCATTAAAACTTTATCCCTAAACTTATGGAAATTATAAATTTTATATATTTATATTGTAAGCTGTATTGAAACTCGAGATCCTTAAACTTTCGGTATATAGAGCCGAGTATTTAAATAAAATATTTTGTAAATACACAATTCCGAATAAAAAGAAAAGCTACTTCTTATGTATGCGATCCTTTGACTCTTTTTCACTGTTTGCATATATTGATATATAAGTTTATATCGTACGCGAAAGTGAAAAGGACTCGAATCCATCGCTTGTTCTGGACATATACCGAGACAAGTCTCCCCGTGTGTAGGAACCTTAAGGGCGAAACCGAGACTGTAGGAGGCGGGCTTTGACAAACGAGGAACAAGCGGCGACCGGTAACGTCCGGCTTGCTATTTTGAACTTATTTGGTGCGAGCTTGGACCACATACCAGGGAACATCGCCGCGAAAGTGAAGAGAACACTCACCGAGATGTAACAACTCCGTTGGGGAGTACATAAACGCGACCGAAACATTTTACTTATGACCTGCTCGTTCATTTTGAGCCCATTTTTTAAGAAACGTACATTAAAGTACTTTATTAAAGTACTTCAATTGTATACCTACGAATATTTGTGTGTTTATAATATATTTGACAGCGATAAGGAAAATAAGTTTATATTTGATAAAGGATTGAGTACTCGCGTTACAGTTGACTAATTTAATAACTATAAATATATGCGATCCTATTCATGTTTCATTTCTTTAAATAACTTAACGAAACAAAAGTTGAGGGATATAGATGCATTACACATATAGTTCTTACGTTACCAAGCTCACATTTCAAAGATTCTAAAGAAATTCCGTTTCCCTAATACGTCAACATGAAAATAACCGAATTTGTAAGTCCTCTGAAACATTTATGCCGCCAAAAATGCCAGTAAATTCTCCAGGATAATATCGCTCGAATCTCTACAGCGATAGCGAGATAATTTACTCAAGAACGAAAGCCTAAGCCAGCCCAGCCCGATCTAAACCGTTCACCATTCGAGCCGCTCGATTCCGTGGTCCCTATAAATCCATCGATCACCGTTTGAAACGAACGCGCGCATAGGTACCTACCTACAGTTGAACGAGAGGCCGGCGACAGCCGCAACGAGCGAAATGCAAGCCGATGCAATCAGGCCCGGCGAACTTTACAGCGTCCGGACACGCGGCGCGGCCGTGTCGCGGCGGAAGAAAATGAAAACGCCGCCGCGGACGTAAATAAATCAGAGCGGACTATGAAAGCCATCGTCCTGCGCGAAACAGAGAAAGAAACGGCCGAGGAAAGATGACGAACAAACGAAGGAGAAACACGATTAAAAACGACGTCGAGAAAATAGAATGGAGAGAAAGAAGATAGGAAAAAGAAAGGTGAGGGAAGAAAGGAAGAAAGAGGAGAATGAAGACGGAAAGGAGAAGAAAAAAAATAAGCAGCGACGGTTAGGCGAACGGGTGGGGGTAGAATCTGGCGAAATAATGTGCGCGAGATTGCTTGTAACCCGAGGACCATGCAAGGGTAACCCAATCTTCTTCTCTTTCTCCCTTTTCTCTTTACCCTTCTCTCGCGTGCTGCGCGGATGATGAAGCTGAAGAAGCCTCCTCGCTCCTAGAAGAGACAGGGGTTCTCTTTTTTTTATAGGATTAGTAGTGTTTCCTGTGTAATAGCACGCGTTACTATTTACACGGTAGGAAGGTGATGGAATTAACCCTTCGCTGTCGGAAGTGTTCCGGTTCTTTACTCCGGAATTGATGTATTTCTTAATTTAGTTTACTAAGTTATTGTAGCTCGTACTCTTCTAATATATTCATGAAACACTTGAGAACTACTAGAACTCTGCTTACGTATGAATTGATTATATCGCGAACTAATTTCATGGAAATTGCTAGAATATATAAGGATTGGATAGGAAATCGAAAGTAGCCTGGATATAGAACCCCGAAGGATTAATATTCCAAGCAATTGATTTCATAATTTGTTAGGAACAAAGTGTTTCTTAAGTTACACGGATTGCGAGGCGTAATTCGCTTGTATGAGCTGGATCGTTGAAGTAGCGCGGGATTAAACAGGACAACCATAAGAAACAAAGAGACAACAGGTTAAGGGAACGAGTATTTTGTTTATTATATTAACATATGTAAGATGAAATAAAAGATTCGAGGGGTCCCTTATATTGCAGGGAGTAGAAGTTAAGAAGAAATTTAAATTTTCAATGTAATAATTATTCGTTTGCGATGAATCGATGATGAGCTACCGAATATACATCGATTCACCGTCGGCAATAATAATCGGACAGGCACCTGCACGCGCAACCTCACCGATACGCTCGTATCGTGTATCATGCAAGACGCGCGCTCGCGCGCGCGCGAGGAAAGATTGACCGCACCTTTGCATAATTGTCGATCAGGCCGATTGCGCGGCCGAGTGTGCACGATAATTACCGTGATAAGTGATTTACGGTGCCTCCGCAGTTTCTGATACTACCGGGCTTAACGAGTGATTGGCAGCAATCTGCCGCCGCCGTGCCGGGGTTCGGAGAAACTGGGGTAATTGGAACGTTCATCTTACAATTAGCGATTGTGAGATCGCCAGTGGTTTTCGAGTGGAGTTCATAATGGAACGTGTAATTTCACATTTTGCACAAACATGATGAAATTTTTATTTTTATGGATACCATTGAAAAGATATTTGTACAGGAAATCTGTTCAGACGCATGATCAAATTGCTCGCACAAGCTTCCTTTACGGTTGATGAATTATAAATAAACATCTCTGTATAATTTGTTTAATATTAGAATTCAACTGCTCGCGTAACTATGATTTCTAAATAATATTTTCTTCTACGTTTATTTGACGGCTGTCTGAATCATAGACATAATATTACATGAGAAATACAACAATCTTTCAACCCTATATTCTTTGTCAGAGCTAACTAAACGTCTGGTTTGACAATACTTATGTTGACACTTAAAGAAATTAACTCGTAAACGTTATTTAGTATCGACAACATTTTTATCTGACAATTTCGATTTTATCTGTTGTTTGTGATAGGATCTCGAATATGGCTAGATATTATGATCAATTGAGAAATAATCTCTGGCAATCAAGGTATGAAAACGGAATGTTTATGACTCAAGGAAGGTTAAGATTAATAAATGTGATAGATCATTTGACTTACCTCAGATTTTGGTGGCAGACCTCCATGTGGTCCCAAAGTTGCAGAAGCTGTGGAATGAGGAGGCACGCCGGGGTACAACTGAGAATGGGGTGATAATCCATGGGCATGAGGGTGTGGATGAGGGGGTGGTGGTGGAGGTGCTGGTGGTTGCAGAGGGTGAGTATGGGGTAGTAACGCTGCGGCGGCAGCGCTCCTGAGGAGATGGGCTTGGAGCTGCTGCAAGTGCGGCGCCATTCCAGGGTGCATTCCCAGAGTTGGACTCATTGCTGTAACAGAAGAACATACATTCATTATTATAGGCAATAAAAACATTAAAAATTGTAATCTAAACATAGTATAAATAAATGTATTGCAACACAAAGTTATCGTAAGAATATACGAACATGAAAGTACATGAAAAATAAAAGTAAATAAAACTCGATATCAAGAATAATGTCTCAAACATTCTCTCTATTATATAGCACTTACCAATATTTGAAACAAATGATGCGAGTGACGGTGTTAATGAATTGAAAGATATGTAACCACATTAAACCATGGCGTAAATATGTAAAGTCAGTACAAACAGGTACCATAGCTACTCTGCAGCTTTCATCGACGACTCACCTCAGCAGAAACCCCCGAGTGCAGTTTCGCGACAATTAATCGCTAGTAAACGTACCGTAGGAGATCGCATGACGATATCGTTTCGATACACGGTAAAAATGCTTTCGTGCAAATTATTCAATCGCCAGAGATTTCATCCGGAGATACGGTTGTCGAGGGGGGACGTAAACGGCGGTCCCAGCGCAACGCTTAATAGTTAACACGGGCGGAGACGAGGGTGGTGATACGAGGATAATCGATAGAGATCGGAATCGGACCGCGTTCATTCTCTTGACAGTCGCAACACGGCACGCCGGACTTCCGGCACGCGGTCTAAGCTTGCATTTCAATGCTAAAACCCTCTCTTACGAAACCGTGAAGCTATAGCGATCGGCGTCGACCGCAGCTGTGTCGTATATACACGGCGTCAAGGAAACCGACGGCCGTTAAACGGCTCGATAAATGTCTTGCTTCGCGAATGGCAATTTATAAACAACCAGACGAACCAATGCAACCACTTTCAGCTGATTATTATCCTCATTTAACCCCGTATCATTTTCTACGCGACTGTAATCGTCGAGTTTATTTTACCATTCATAATTTTCGTGGACGCGAGGAAATTCTCTTCTCACTGTGAGTAGCACTTTGCAAGTAAAATATTAATAATAGAATAGTTTTCCATTTCAACCTATGCGCAATGAATAACATTGATCTTTGTTAACCTCGAACTATTACTCTTTAACCACTACTGTGCATCTGTAGGATCATAAATTTTCATTTATTCCTATTTGCCTTCCTGTATGTCTTATCATCATTTTAATAGCAGGTTAGTGTTCGATTAATAAATTGAATGAACAACCTCAGTAAATATTAACGATTTGTGAAATTATAGTAAATTTGAGCATACGTAGTAGTTAAGGGTTAAACCGAGCTAGAAACCTATACTGCGAATCTTGGTCGTCGTTATAAGGCAAGAAGTTAATCGAATTCGTCGATTCCGACGAAACGTTAAGGTGCAGATACACTTGCAAGTGATTCGCGACGCTTTATTCGTGATTTAAAGTGTTTACACTTCTATCTTATTTTATTTCATTACCGTCACGAATGAATTAACCCTCTGCGATCGTATCAATTTCGTACAATAGAATCGTGTTAGTCGGAATTGATTTCTACGGGGTGTACAATAGCGACATAATGCGTGATTACAAACAGTACATGAAATTTACTATTTTCTTAATACTTTAGATCAATTTAATACAATAATAGAGCTTTACTTGTCATAAATATTAGATTTCATATAACGGTAAAAGAGTTTTGGCTCAGACTAAATATACGATCGCAAATGGTTAACCCTTTTCACTCGAAAGTTCTTCACTAGAAATATTTAAAGTGTTCCGAAGAGCTATAGACGACTTTTTTTTAATTAACTTAACGAGAAATTATACGTGAATCAAGAAACAAACCTATTCCTTCCCATATTGATGCATTACACCAAGCTTAATATCGTATATCAAACTTTACAATTTCGCTACATCAAATCGAGCACTGACTAAGAGTCACCTATAAAGTGCAAAGGATTAAATTTACCGACAGAAATCACCGATGCGTTTACAAGCGTAATAAGACTTTCTGTCAAAGAAATATATCACAAATTAAGTACTTGCCAGTGTATCAGCACCTTTAGCGAAACGTCGCTAGTCTTTCCGCCGAGTGTCATCGCTTTTCCGTGCGTTGAACTCTCCGTGCCCGATCGTCGCCCGTCGCCGCGCTATACATAAATCGGTGCGTTCCGATAAAATCGGAACGTGTCGAGCTTGCTATTTAACAACAGTGGGCTGCTACGCGGTAATATATTAATGCGTGAAGCAGGCATAATGCTGTTCGATAAATTGCCCCGGCTAAATTAATCACCGTTCAATATGGTCTTGTCGGTGCGATACGTGACAGGCCTTCGAATCACGCTTCCTTCTAATTCAAGCCTCCGCTGACACTGTCCCTATCGCGGCTCTATAAATTGGCTTGGGTAATATTTATGCTCTATTGACGCGCGCGGGTCTGCACGGTTAACCGACCGTTGTATCGTTCACTTCTTTATTTCTATTTAAACGGCGCATTCATCGGTTATTATGAATAAACGCAAGGTACGGCGTGTGCGCTATCCACGTCTCGCTATAATAACTCAATTACTCCGAATCATCGGTGATTTCACGGATATAATCGCGTAACGAAAGGAAATCGCTGGTTAATTGGAACTATTAGACGAATGTTAACGGCAAAATCGGTTGGACGTCGGGAATTCGAATTACAACGTATTTATCGTGGCAAGAAATAACGAAACGGTTGAAGAGTGGTTCGCAGGTTTTTGTGGAAACATTGGAAATAAAAACGTTGAGCGTACTGGTGATTATTACTATAAATTAAATCTGGATCTTGATGCAAGCAAGAATCCAGAAAGTTAACTCTTTACGAAATTCGATGTAAAATAGAAATTTAATGAAATTTTCAATAAATAAAACATTTGGATAAGTATATTTTTAAAACCGTACAGAATTTTTAATTTCATCAGGATTGGAGAGAAATAAATATTACGCGAACGCAACGCGCAAAGTAAGATCTGGAAAACAGCGAAACTTCGGCGCGCATCCACATTCCTATATTCCTCACTACACCCGTCGCCCCGTTTCAAACGAACCGAACAAACATCATCGACGCAGAGTTTCTCCGAAGCAGCTCGAGCCGATCTTTCCCATATTATCGGGCGCTTAACAGTCGGCGAAGGTCCCATCGACGATGCAATCAAGCCCCATTCAGGGTGCCATCACGTACGTGAGCCGAAGTACTTAGACGAGCGGTCACGCCCATGTGTGACCACGATCTAGTCGGTGCCTCGTAAAAGCGGGCACGTTGCGTGCCCGCGGACGCTTAACGATTAGAAGCGCCCTGTCTCGTTTCGAAACTTTGTATTACCGACGTCCCGTCGGGGAACGTCACGCGATCGCTGAATAGAACCCGGAGCGAATCCTTTATTGCAATAATTTCACCGTGTTCGATTACACGCGCTGATCGCTTCCTACAAACCGATAATTGCGGCACGCCGAGGGTAGCGAGCACGTTAACAGACGAATGGAAACATCAACGGATTCTCCGAAAGGGACTCCATCGACGGCTGGAAATTACAAGGGCTACCGGTTTCTCGCGATCGAAGGGAGCTTCCTCATTGGCTCCGCCATGAAATTTACGTCCCATTCTTCGCGGAACGACGGAAAAATCGCGTTTTATCGCGCGATTTCGCCCGACGGCGTATTTCTCACGGCGAGCATTCGATCGCTCGTCGCGATTCGAAATGAACATAAACCGCGGAATGCTTGAAGCCGCGTACGCCTACGATCCTTTATTTAAGGACTCTATAATTTTCCGGAATCGGCCGTACGTTGCCCGGGGAACCAGCCATCTGCTCGTACGCCGGACGATAATCGCTTAATCACCCTCACGACTTTCTCTGTGCATCAACCGCCGATGACGTATGAAAAATTTAATAAAGCGCGGCGCGCGCGCTGCCGTTCTTGCAGCGAACGATCGCTTTGGTTTACGGCGTGTGCGACTGTTGGCGACGGTGTCCGCTTCCGTACGCGGATCATTCAACGATTCGTTAATTATTAATATTCTAAATATCCTACGCCGGGAATCGAGTCGAGCGAATCGCGACAGAAACCTAAGCCGCAGTTAAATTCCTTCCGCCGGCGGATACCGTCCGCCATTTTGTAATTCTTGGAACGTTAATTTGGTAACATTGAAATTGCTTTTTCTTTAAAATTTTTTTTTAATTAGATTGTGCTAGAGAAGGTATATGATGTTTAATTATCTACTTTTATGGATCGACGTGAAAAGAAAATGGAAACGTTCGTGAAACGTTTGAGGTTAATAAAAAGAGTGTCTTAGCGGAGGTGTTGACTTAAGTAACATAGATGGCAGCAGGGGATTCTATCTGTGAAGCGTACGTAAGTCACGAAGACTTGGATGTGTTTATTTTTAAATTGAATACTTCTTTTGAAACGGTTTTTAATGTAATCTGACGGTAACGAAAGATACGTAGAATTATAATGAAATGGAAGGAATTATAATTAAACATAGAATCATGAATATTATGCGACATCTGACCATTTACAGATTAATTCGAAACCCAGTGAAACACGAGGAAAAGTAAACAAATATAAAAAGAATAACAAAAGTTCCTATAAATTATATTGTACGCGATACGCGTGCGCTTGCTCATCAAGTAATACCGTTACAAATCAATTGAACCATATGTGAATTCCAAAAATACCGATATCTTCCAACAACCCATCAATCCCTGCTCACTCACTTAAAAACGACTGTCCCTCGATGAAAACTGCTACTATTAATCCTTTGCACTTGAAAGGCGACTCTCAGTCACCACTTGATTTGACGTGGTAAAATCATAAAGTCTGATATTTAATGTTGAACTTTGTATAATGCCTTGATACGTGAAATATTGGAATAAAATAGCTTTGTTTCTCAATATACTTATGATTTCCCTTCGAGTTAGTTTCATGGAATATCGTCTTCGCCGCGTCAAAAAATGTTAAACATTTCTAGTGAGAAATTCCCGTGTGCAAAGGATTAATAACACGGAAACTAATAATATTTTAAATACCGTATACAGTACTGAACCATTAATTAATACACACAATACCAAACAGAACGTTCCCGGAATCAGAACAGATTTTAAGTAACTCCCCACTCGAAACCGAGTCCCTCGGTGACGATAAAAAAGTCTTTCCGTAACCAGGTTCCGATCGATCTTCCCACAAATTCGGGACCAAGGGGTGGGGGAGCGACATTCCCGTGGAAAAGACGACCAACGAGGAGCGAAGAGGGGGGCTGCATCACGGGACCAAGTTTAACGAGCAGGAACGTCCCGGGGCGCATCATACGACGCCGGGCCGACAAACGATCGGCGATCGCGTCGCGCCGCTTGAATTTTAATCCGTTAATTACTTCATTTAATCGCAAATTACTGGTCGCTCTTAACTCGCGAGCAAGGAGGTCCGGCCGATTTGTGGGGCGTACCGCGCGCGATTCGTGGCTCCGAGCCGGCTTCGTAATGGCTTCATGCGCACCGGCACCTTAATTCGATCCCTCGCTTTCGACCATACCCCTTTTCGTCCTCCGCTCCCCCGTAACCCGCGGCCGCGTGCCCTTAAACGTCAGAAACCGATCCTTACGAGGACGGTGGGGGCCTCCGCGCGTTAACGCTACCGCCAATGACTTTATTCGTTTCGTACGGTTCCCGGTAATTATGGTAATTCACCGGTCGGAAACCCGGTTTCCCCGAGAAACCCAGACGCCTCCGATACACCGCGGACGTTTTACGACTAATGTTAAGATGTAAGGGAATGATATACGACCGGTGGCCGCCTGTGTTGATAATATTAAAGTGAATTATGCAAGTACCCGCGGGCGGGACCACTGGGATGGCGGACGGGGAGACGGGGAACGGTTCAACGGAGATTGTCCGGCTGGTGATAAAATTCGCTGTACTCGGTGACCGTAAAACAGGTGAAACTCTAGGATCTCGCGTGGCAGGTGTTGCTCTCCCGAGCGTCTTCTTTGTTTTTCCTCTCGCTTCGGTTTCGTTTTGTTCCGCCGCCTGCGGTTCCCGGGCAATTTAACGTCGACGCTTGGAACGATTGATTTAGTAATTCCACGATCAACGGAGAGGCATTTAAACTGGCTGATAGTTACACTGTGGGCTTGATGTCGGCTGATGTTGGGTATCAATGCGACAGCGGTCGTTGCACGGGATACCGAGTGAAACCGTAGGCATTTTACGTGTTCCGATCTATATTGTTTATGGTTCGCTTGACAGTTTCTAATTCCGTTATGAGTTACTGGAATTGTTCATCGTTAGACGCTCGTTGGTACGGTTTTACTACCGAGTTTCTTATTAGATAAATTTCATTTAAAAAAGAGAAGTTTCCTCCGATCGTAAAATAATTCAAGTTCTCGGATCTAGGTGACACGTACGATTCGTTCTCATCACCTTCCTACTTACACGTCGCGACAGCTAAGCACATCAGCGACATCGATTTCTTCTCACTTAAATTCGAAAAGGAAGCGTTCACTTCGAACACGAAAAACGCAGTCATCTGAAACTATCTGTACTCAGTTAGTCCCTTCACTGTCACTCGTGCCATTAAACGGTTCAACGTGTAATCCTATCGAAAGCCAACAATTAATTCCGATGGTTCGACTATGAAATTATTCGGAACATTAAAAACTAATGCCCGTAAAACTTCACTTTAATGCCCGGCTGGATTTCAACGGCGCGCAAGAAAATTCTTCAAAACTATCCGTTTCGAAGAATCGCTGGAATTTCGCCGGCTCGCCATCTTGCAACCTACGAGCGTGGATACCTAATTCCCTTATGGAGCCACCACACTCTGCCCCCGGGGCGGTTTACGAGCTTCATTTATTCGTCGCGTAGTAGCGGCAATAACATGGGAAATATGGCCGTTGCGCCGGTAGTCGCATTAACAACTTCTGCCGGGGTACACGTATAATTACACGCGTATAATTCACGTATCGCGTATCCGCGCGCGCGCGAAACATTTACGGTCCCGTCGAGATCGGATCACGGCCACCACCGCCATGGCCGACGACGAGTATACTCGGCGGCGCGCGTAATTACGGGTAATCAATCACCGAACGGCCGTGCGTTCGGTGAAAACGCGGCGACTAAACACCGGTGACTTACGTTTTCGGTGGATAAGAGGCGCGGGAGATCTCTTAATTACGGGTTCGCCACCCCTCGCGATTTACCGAGATGCTCGTCCACGGTTTTAAATCCCGCGGAACGTCTCAGTCCCGCTGGACTCCGTGAATGGTGGACGGATAATTACGCGGCTGCAGTTTGCGCCGCTTGGAATCGCGACGCGTCGAACGAGAGTCGCATAAAGGAATCAAGAACGGTCTCGAGGCAAATTAACTATTATATGTTTACATTGTATCGGTATGAAGAAACTTTCCCGGTTATGGGGAAGAAGATTTCTATCTGTTTTATTTATTATTGCGTTGCGTAAGGAAATTTTGAGGATGGTTTAATATATTGGATCGATGGGTATTAGACAGTTTTATCGATTTCGTGGTTGAAGAAAAGAAATATTTGCTGTTGAAGTTTAACTATTATACTTATTGGCGTTGAGGTTTTTTAAATTTACCGATGCAACGTGTCGAAGTTTGAGGAAAAAGTGATTTTTCTTGTAGTAATACGCGTTAAACAGAAGAAAATTGAATCTTCGAATTTTTGTAACTTTTGTGCCGTCGTTACCATTGAATTTCAGTAGGATATTCTCAGGTTTATTACATTGTTTATAATATTTAATTTATCATATCTAAAGTGTTGTATTAAAAGCTGGTTTTGAACAAAGAGGAAACTATCTTCCTGGGTAAGGTAGGAGGTGAAATTTATATAAAGCTATAGGAAGCTTATAAAGTTACATAAAGCTTTGCAGAAAGTATCATTTCTGAAGGAGTTAGCGTCTTAATTAAAATGACAGCGTCGATAATACTTCAGTTGCCTCTCTCTTTCTCAATGCTTCTTCTTCGGTGTGGGTGCATTTAATTCCGTGGCAAACTACGCTTGAACAATTGAATGACGCGTAAATGGTTCGCTTACCGGCAGAAAGATGACCGTAACTGCCACTCGCGCTGCTGCTTCGGGATCCATTCACGATCGAGGCTAAGCTGTTCGGGCTGAATCTGATCATGCTGTCGATGTCGAAGCGGTCAGAGTACGGCGAACTACTTAGTGCACGTTTCCGGCTTGCTCGGATAGTCGAGGCACGCGGACTTCCTAGCCTCGATGACGCCGATACTGAAAATAAATCGGGAATGCGTTAGTTAAATTATCTCCGGAGTTCCGGAAGTCTTGCTAGCTTTCATCTCGATAAATTGGATACTCGCGAGAGAACGAAGCGTACAAGCAATTTTTGAATTCACACGGTTCGATTATATTAGTTCCATTTTTTTACTGGCAATAGTATAATTTTATTGAATTCGTGGAAACGATGAACCAAAGTTATAACAGATGATTTATTCTAAGATCGATGCCTCGCGATTGTGATTGAAAAAAATGCTTCCTTTCAAATTAAAAGCTTTCAGATGGATTTCTTTTGTCGATCTAATATTAAGTATCAATGTCATATAGAATATAGACAGATGTAAATATTTTGTATAAAAAAGACAACACGATAATCCTCCTTTCAAATGATCACACCTTCTACGATTGTTCAAATTAGTGAACCACTTCCAAAAAACGAATTCCAATTGATAACAATCAAGCCGCAATACCGCCGTGTATATACGGTCGTCCACATATTCCCAAGTGACACAATTTACAGTTATTAATATTTCAAGTGCTTGGGTACTAAAGAAGAATCGTCGACAAACGCGAAAAGTATCGAATCACAGATTCACGGTTGCTTCACGCGAGCAACCGTGAAATTTCCATACAAAACGGCGACGCGGCCGCGGAACCAGTTCAATTAAGCGCTACGAATTCTTGCCGGCCGTAGTACCAGGGAATATATCCTCGCGCGCGGACGAAGATTTTAAAAGTCTCCCTTTCGGTGCGTGCTCGTAACCAGGTAGGTATTCAGGACTAACCGGGGAAGACGAAGGAAAAACAGGAAGAGGGAAGAGGCAGGCGACAAGAGCGAAGGAGAAGGCCGATTCTGCGGCCAGAACGTTTTAGCGGCGATTTGCCTGCGACCGCAGGCCAACGATGTAATATACAAACCACTTTCTTAAGCTCGTGGTGGCGGCTCGCTTGTACGAACCATCGTTGGTTATATGGTGGCGGTTCTCCGGTTCTCCGCCTCTCTACGCTTCGCCTTCATCCTCGATCGCCGCGATCTTCCACGATCCTATTTGTTTCCAACTTTTTATCACTTTCACGTTAAGTTGTGCTTTACCATAAATATCTTCGAATTTTTAATTAACTTTGTCAATTCTATTCGAGTTTATATTCGCTTATTTTCCCGGTGGTTTTGTAACGTGATATTATATTATAGTTGTCCCTCTTTTTTCATCGTCACGTTTGCGTTGAAGAATCTACTCGCCGATAAAATATTTGATTTCACATAACATGGATTTTTAGAGAATATTATTTGATCGTTTTAGAAAATAAGTGGTTGGAGAATACTTTGCTGATATAGGTGAGATGTTTGAAAATAGGAAACTTATGAGTATCGTGCGGGAGGAAATCATTTTTCCGATGTTACCAGGCATCGGTGTCTCTCAGTTTTGAAAGAAGTTTAAGGTTAAACACGTCATTTATGTGTTTTGTTTATTTAGTACTCTCCATTTCTATAGTACTGCGAATTATAAAAGATTCTTATAATAATTTAGTTATTAAAATTCTGTTACTGAAGTTTATCATTCAATGTTATTAATCAATGTTATTACTGAATAGTCATTCGATTTTAGTATTATAAAACATAGAGAAACGTGTTATGAACCTATCAGAGATATACAAGGAAATCTGCTGAAACTTCCTATTCCACCAGGCATTGAAATCACCAAGATTCAGAGTCTAAAAGCAAACTACACACCAGAATATGAAAAGTCCAAGTGTTCTTTATTTTCTTTAAATATAAGTCAAACATTACTTATCTATTATCAATCGTTAACCCATCCAGCAAACGTAAACATATAACAAACAGCGAAAATGTCTCTTTCCCTAATCAATTATTACTGATAAAGCAGTCATATCAATAATACTTAAAAAATAAACTATAGAGCAAAGGGTTAATCTTTTACCTACCATACACCACTATACACTCATTTGTATATCATATTTTCAAATAGTATCCCACTACAGCTCAATCCTTTCTCTATCATCGATGACTGTGCACTGTCTACTCTAACGTAATGAATCGAAAAATTCTCACATCACAGTGCTCTAATTATGATACGCAAACCGCATCAAACCTCGCCATACAGAGGTCTAGTTTCGAGGCTAGTTCCGCCGTAGCTAAAAGGTTAACACTAGAACTACCGATCACTTCAACCGATTTTTACAAACTTCTTTCTAATAACCATAAGCGCGCGTTTATTAAGATTTCAATTGACTTGTATCTCAGCGTTGCTATTACCGAACTAGTTTCGTTAATCATTTTTCGCGGAAATGTCTGCACCTTTTCGATAATTGTAAAAGAAGAAATCAGGAATAAGTCATTTCGACCCATCTGGTAGTTTCAGTGTTAATCAGTGTAGCAAACGAACGTTTCGTGCATCAACATTCTCCACGATAACGATTTACCTGCCAATTCCCCAGAAAATTCGTTCCCTCCCTCGTCTCTAGCACCGTGTCTCGGTCGTCCAACCTTCTCCCCGGCATCTCCGTTTCAGCTACCTCGTCGTTCCTCGGGGCTCCTCTATCTCCCCGTGTCGTCTCGCACGGGCAACGCGATACAGAGAGCCACGAGGAGGTTCGAACCAGCTCTTTCTCCTCGGTTTCCACTCGGTTGATCGCTCGTTCGCGCACAACGGGTATAGAATTACTCGCGGTTGGGGCCCGGGCCCGGTCCCTGTTCCCCTGCGCGTCGCGCGAACGAACGCGCTCCTTTATCCCCTCGCCGGTTTATTAATTCGAGCACTGATCAAATTTACGGCGGTCAACGGGCGCACGGACGAGCGGGAGTGCGTGCACGTGTGCACGCGCGCGAGAAAGACAGAGAAAGGAAACGGCTGCCATGCGGTTTTTCCGCATGAGCTGGAGCGTTTAAGGTTCCTCGCCGGGCCCGCGGCTCGATCGACTGAGCGAAACGACCTGGATCCTCTTCTCACGCCACCGCCGCGCGCTTTCAGGATTCTCGTTCTTGTACGCCCATCAAATCAAATATCATTCTTTCTGGACCGTTCGTCTGCGGTTTCCGCGAAGTTTGTATTACATTGTACACGGGCACACGGATGCGATGCAGTTTTCGAGCAAGGTTGCGGTTACCAGTTGTTTCTACGTGATTCCTTGAAGATGTTGTTTTGCGAAGAATTTTAATCTCTTGCGGTGTAATGACAGTGAAAAGTCTTTATGCTTGTTTGGTTGATAGGTATTTGACTGTGCTATGACCTTTTTTGCAACCAGGAAAGAGTTGTATATTTATTGTACGAGTAAGCTTACTTTGAAGATTAACTTCTCAAACAACTAAATATTCAGAATATATCAATCAATCGAAAATACTCATTGACTGGCTCGTCTGAACAAAACCATCTCGATCTACTTACTCGACGCAACCAAAGCCAAATTCACAACCAACGACATTCTACATTCCCTTGAAACTATAAAATTCTTCCAACAGAAGGATCACGAGAAATAATCTATTAAACAACCGTAATCATAGCGAGCTCTGCAACACGATCGTGAAAACAATATATTCGAGTCAATTGGATTCAGACCACCCGCGACGAAACCGAAAGAAATAAACTGCTTTCCTTTTTCGATACAGGGCCCTCATAGTCAGCTGTACAGGATCGATGATGTGTAAATGTTTCCATTACCCGTTCTTCAGCGTGCACCACTGACGTGAGCTCGATCGAACGTGATTTCTCGATGCACTTTTTCCATCGTCGAATCGATCTCCTTATCCGCAGGGGTTGGTCAGCGCATCGCAGCGAAGAGGACTCTTAATGAATATGCGAACGATTCCTGACTCGTCCCCAACCCCGCTCCCCGAGCGTCTCACCCCCGAACGTCCTCGTGACCCACGACCCTTTGGACTCTACACGCTCCGTACGTTCCGATCCCTTCGTCCTTCCCCGTGCTCCCCCTCGTGGGGCAAACATGGGATTGAGACATGTAAATTGGTGCAATCGGCCACTCCGATCGGCGCGGCTCATTCGACGCTGCTCACCGCATGCTACTGCGCTACAGGTTCTCTCAAACGAACAATCCGTGGACATACCGAACTTTCCTTCGAGGATTCACGGTGTTAATCCTTTGCACTCGAGATATGTTCATTTTGCTAGATATATTCCTGATTTTCTAATGAAATATCAATGATGTTTTATAATTAATATTAATACAAATAATATACAAATTAAGTGATAGAACTATTCTATTTTAACGTTTCATGGATGATTACGTTAAATGAACGTTAATATTGAATATCAAACTTTGTAATTTTACTGTATCAAACCAAATGGCGACTGTGAGTCGCCTCTCGAGTGCAAAGGGTTAAAATTATGTTACGTTCTTATGGTTTTATGGGTAATTTAACCCTCTGCGCTCGAGAAGTGACTCTCCGTCACCATTTGATTTGATATAACGAATTACAAAGTGTTACATATAATATTCAGTTTGTTTTAGATGCATTATGGTGCGTCAATATGTGAAATATTTATGTAAAATAGCTTTGTTTTTTAATTTACGTATGTTCATTAATTCGTTTCAAACAGTGTAGCCCACGTTTCATTGGAAAATATCGAATGTTTCTAGTGAAAAACTTCCGAATGCAATGGATTAAAAGTGCAAGAGACAAAATGCACGGAATACGAAAAATATATGAAGCAATAGAAGTATGGAGGTTTTAAGAGTCTTTTTAAAAAAAATTATTCGATCTGAATTTTGATTTGATTGGAATTTACATGAAGATTCCCAGTTTGTTTATTACGACAGACATTTGTAAATAGGTATGGTAGATATTTGAAGTTTCAAGTGAGTTATGAAAACTGAAAAGTAAGTTGAGACAAATTTGTCCACGTTCCTATGATTATAAGCGTAGGTAAATTCCATGAATTCTATAAATTCCATAAACCGAATTAAACATTACGTTTTCGAGTCACAAACGAACTGCCAGCATCTCTGCATGCCAATGGATTTTCAATTAGCTAGAGCATATAAATTATTTACAAATAAAAGGTAGCTACGGTAGTTTTAAAACGCTAGACGGGGTGAATCGTTACAGTTTAATTTTCCTTTGTTGATTGAATTTGATCCCACCGATCGGGATAACCTCAAGGTCTGAAACTGTCAACGTGCGCCTTTCTATTCGATCAGAAATGAATTCCCTGTCCGCGTACTGTCGGCAACAGAACAATTACACGGAAAATAATTTCAATTCAGGGCGTTCGTTTTAATTGAATTTAACGTTGATAAAGGGTAATTGAACAATTTTCATTCTTCAAATCCACGCCATACGTTCCACGCGAAAAAAGAAGCATGCCTCCTTTTCCATTCAGAAACAGACAGTATCGATATCTGAAACAATCTTACGTGGAATCGTCTTCTATTAATTCCAATAATCCCAGTAATGTGTCCCTTAATTTAAATATTTCGTGCATCCAATCAAACTTCCAGCCCGCTCCGGGGCTGTATTAACAATTCAAATTTAATTATCCGCGGACAGGGAAACTTTTATTGGACTCGGAACTATCGCTTTATTAAAATTGCCGAGGCGAGGCCGCGGTGCGCGAGCACGCCATGAATGAAGCCGACAATCTGAATAAAGAATTTTTACGAGGGTAACTCGATCGAAAGCGCAGAAAGCAATACAAAAACAGGAACGGGACGCTACGACGAAGAAACGCTCGGAGAGGGAGGAGAGTGAAGGAACGGGATAAGAAGAAGGAGAAGAAGAAACGTGAGACAACCTGTAGGGTAGGCGCTAAGGTGTTAATGAGGTCGTGTCGCTCCGAGTCGATTCAATTATGCGGCGGTGGCGACTAACGAGGCCCCGTTTACCCTTTCAGTCGTCTTTTAGCCTCTCGGCCTCTTAACCGGTCGATCTCCTACCTGCTGCTAGTGCTGCTACACCTACGGCTAGCCGCGTGCACCGTAGATCAGGATCTTTCATTAGATCCACTTGTCGTTATCCATCGCACGCTCGAAAAAGTGTCGAATTTTTCCGCGTCGCGTGGAAACTTGCGACCCGAACACTTCAAATGGAACAAACTACGACTGAGACTCTCGAAAATCATTGTTTGACGGAGCTTTATGTTAATGGAGCAGAGATAAGAATAATAAGTGAAACCGTGTCCGATTCGAGTTATTGAACAGTCAATCGACTGTTCAATAATTCGGGCAATTATGTGTTTGTTATTGATGATATTAGTGATTCTATTATATTATTCGAACAAAATGTCACGTTAATAGTTTCCTGTATATTGTCTTTTATTCCATAGTTCGTATATAGTCATTTACGATTCATTCTTTCTCGCCACTGCTTGTCAAGATCACATGATCACTTATTGCTCCCCGACAGCTGGCCGAGAGAAAAGGTGACACTCTCGTCGTCGACGAATAGATCGTAGATCGATAGCGGCTCTCTTCACGGAAGCGTTCGAGATTTTCGGCTCGAGCACGCACGGCTGAGATCTCCGGCCATCTACAAACTGGTGTCGAATACCGCTTCCACCTGTAGGCTTCGATCGGGCCTGATGCAATCACGATATTGTTTCCACGTGGCGCGACATTCGAGGACCGTTTATCTTTTAACACGGAGGAGCGATTCGGGTCTTACCGTCAATGGAGAAGGGGAACTCCGTGGAGGCGAGCGTGCTTGCCGGTCCCGCAGCGTGCAGAAGGTACTCGGGCCCCAAACCACCCAGTCCTGAAAAATGTCGGAAAACAACGTTAAAAACTGGACGCGTGACTGTGGCGAAAAAAAATGATGATTATACACTCGCTCTCGAAACGGAAAGCGTCCGATGTGGAACGGGTCTAACGGATCGGATTCAAAGAACTCGTCTCTAAAAGAGATCCTTCCGCCGGAAATGCGGGCCCTATTCATAGAGGTTCTCGATCTTCGAGTGGAATAATAGACTGGACTTGCTTCTAAAGGTGGTCGTTCTATTAAGCCGATTAGAGAGCAGATAATGATGAAACGTGGAAATTGAAAGACGATCAGAGCTGCCGATGACGAATGGCATTGGCAACATTTTCATTCTGTCACGGGCAGTTTTAGTTAAAACAAATGAATAGTCTGTATTATTATGTAGGTAAAATAGAAATCTTAATTCGATGCTGTAATCTTCTTTATTCGTAATTGAATATTCTACGTTACTTCGTTTCAATGAATTTCTGTTAAGTACAACAGATTACACCGTTTTTAAAAGGAAAGTAGTAGAAGCAAAAATGTAACTCTAACACTAGAACTACCAGGTGAGTCAAAGTGACCTATTCCTGATTTCTTCTTTTACAATTATCGAAAAAGTACAGATACTTCTACGAAAAATTATTAACGAAACTAATTCAGTAACAACAGAACTGAGACAGTCAATTCAAATCTTAATAGCCGCGCGCTTCTGATTTCTATAAAGAAATTAGTTCTAGTGTTAAGTATCATCTTCGTTACAATATTGTTACGAATCAGATATGCTCAGATTCTTATTTTATTCTCAAAAACATAGGTATGGCTTACATATAAATAGGTCTAACAATCATGTCTTTGTCGTTGGTAACCATTTGACAGCTTCGATTGCTGGCTTTCCTGAGTTACTGTAATTTAGTGCGCGTGACTGAGATAATACTTGCTGCGTCTTACAATGTTTCCTATACATCGGCAGCGTAAATAAATTTCAGGCTCAAAATTAGGCGATGTACCCGGCCGCTATCATTCTAATTATCTTGGAACAAGTACAAGCCAGGGTAATTACCGTGTAACGAGGCGTTGGGACTGTGCGTGGAGGCCTGGAGCTGGTGGTAAAGGTGGTCCATGTAGTTGAGCCGGTAGGCGGGGTGCAGGGCCGTATGCTCCGAGAGAGGGTGACTTCTGCGGAGGAAATCGCCGCCGGAAGTCCCGTTGCCGGCAGCCCCGCCGCCACCGCTGCCACCGCCGCCTCCACCGCCGCCGTTCGCTCCGCCACCGCCACCGGTGGCCGCACTGCCGATCGCCGTTGTGCTGCTTGACAATCTGAAATAATTAACTTGTATTAATATTCTTGCACTCTGAGGATCACTGTGTTTTTACAAAGAAGGAAATGAATAGAATTTTTAATCAAATTATAAAACTCTTATTAATAGTAAAAGTAATATAAATATTGGAATAAAAGTAAAAGACTATGTGTTACTAATAGATGTGTACTACTTAATTATATTATTAATTATATATTATTAACTATATATTCTAAGTAAGTTTCATGTTTTGCCCAGTATTCGTCTGTAAACGCATAAGGTTAAACTGTAAGGGTAACAAAAGTAATTGACAAATGAAAACAGGATTTCTAACCTAGAATTCCATGGCGCAGTTTGAATTACAAATTAATTTTAACGCACGAAAGAATACTTTACAAAGGATGCACGAGCTGTTCATAAAGGAACGAAGGCGCGCTCTTTCTCCGAAAGATCGTTTAAAGGGGTACAGAATGTTTCACGGAAAGAGCACGCAGCTCGGAGAGCGAATTAATCATGTCGAAAGGACAATGTAAAGAGAGGAACGGTCGTTTTGACGAATGAAATTACGACACGCACGGAGCCACGACAAATGGCGTGTGTCTCTTCGTCAAAGATTCTATTTTTGTCCCGTTGATGGCGGAACAGGTGTCTTCTACCAATGGCGGGCCTTGTTCCCCGCCGAGTTTCTTCTCGAAACTCAATCCGCCTTATTTTTTTCCCTCCCTTTGGCTGGAAGAAAACGCACGGAAGGACCCGTCGGTAACAAGAACGAGCTCTTCGCGAATTCGAGGATCTCGTCAACAGTTCGTCACGCACGGAGTATCGGGAAATGACGCGTGCCGTTGTGTGTCCAGACATTTTCGACCCTCTTCGCGGATCACCGGTGATTTGTGGAAGCCTAACGTTTTACTCTATTTTTGTCCAATTACAGCGTACAAATTCGTAATTTTGTATCTCTACGAAATACCGCAGACAGCGAGGAAATTACTTGAGCGACAGACTACGTCATAAGTTGAAGTTAACTATCTCCATTATGCTTCCGCGAATAAGCTCGAATTAATCCTGTTGTATATATTTCTTATTGGGTTTAATTTCTCCAGGAAGCACGAATACAATCTGAATAAATGTCAACGCGTAGTTAGTAAAAATGTTGATTCAACCGACGAACGGAAACATGTACAATTTTGAAACCAAAATATTGAGGTTTATCTTAGTAATCTAAGCTAACATTGGTTGAAGAATCTAATTTAAATTTCTCAAACTTCGGAGCAAGAAATAAAATATTCAAACTCTAGTTTATTTTAAAAGAAGATACAATGAAGATGTTTTATTTCCATTTGAAAGTAAAAATGGCTTCTAATTATATTTCTTAACGCTAGGTTTACAAATGCTTATTGCACAGTTTATTGTTCCTAGAAAAACTGATGTTTGTTCCTTTAGATCTTGGAAATTGGAGGTGTGAAGATAGACAATTAGAATATATACTCGTGTAATAGCATAAAATTCAATATGCGTCAAATTGACGCGTTATATTCAGTTTCGATAATTTATCAAGAGTCACATTGTGCGTTATACGACAAGGGGTAGAGCAAAGATGGCAGCGTTTTGCTCTCGTTTCAAGAAACAGAGCGTCTCACGGAAGAGTCGCGTCGTAAGGTCCTCGCGAAGGGTGTGCCACGCGTTTTGACTGACTGCCATTCGCCACGCTCGAAACATCGGGAAATGGCGCGTGTCTCGTACCTTCAAAGATATTCTCTTCGCTCGGTCGCGTCGTTAGTGCCAGTTTACGATGACGTCCCTCTCTCTCTCCTTCTCTTTCACTTTCTCTTTCTCTCAACGCGCGCGGCCAGGATTCTTCGAGGAATCGCGAGGAACGTCAGGTGGCTTGAGATCTTTATTGAAAACTCGCCGAGCCGCCTCTGCACCGCGGCGAAAGTCTCCGTGAAGCTGGAGTAACTCACTGCCAAGGTCACAGTGTACCAGGGAATTTCCCCATGACCACAGTAAAATTCTACGGGGAAATTCGGGATCTGTTTCACCCTTGAAACATCTGGTCGTTTTCAGAAGGAAAAATAGATATTGTTCTTTGAAACAGAGCTTCGGAAAAACTGTTAACATTCAGTCAACCGAATGGGGTGATCTACCATTTTACCCTTAGCAACGCGTTGCCACTTGTTTCGTTCATTTTTCTTTCATTATTTAGAAAGTCAATTTAATAAATACCTTTCTTGCTTTTGTAAGACACAATTCTTAATTGAATGTGCTGAATAAGCTCGATTAAAGTTAATGAAAAAGGTTATAGTTGCAGTCTTTTCTAGGCAGTTGCTTAAGTGTACAGTTGACTTGTTAAATGTAATACGTATAAAATGCAATATAATTAAAATTGAAAATAGTAAAATTGTAGCTGTATAATAAATGAAGATATATGAAGAAAATAGATTTCTATTGAATGATTCTTTTGAATAAGCTCTAGGGAATATTTATTTGGAAATCTGCAGTCTAGTTATAATACATACTTCTACTATAAAAATATGTACAATTAATATTGATTTGTTACGTGGTTGCTATAATTTTTAAATATATTAGGAAATAAATGATTTGTGGAGAAGTGTTTGAGAAGTAGAATTTCGAGCAGTTACTACAACACGGACTATCTAATGATCAGATTGACTTCAAAGATGGTCTAGCTATAAAATAAGTTTCTAAAAGTGTTGAGGATTGTGAACAATTTTATGGATTTCAGAAATAAAGAACGTTCACTAGATGGTAAGCGTTAGAAGAGTTCATTAAAATCTCCCATTAGTATTTTAACATCCTCCCTTAAATCGGCTCTGTTTAGAAACATTATACCGTTTCCTGCATTCTCGGACGTGCTCCCTAAGAAATTCCCGATATTTATGTCCGACACCGTTTCCACCATAAATTTTTATCTCGGAAGCGGTTGTTTCGGGAAGTAGACACGTTTTCTTCTTCAACGTCAACGCAGACTGTTTTACGAGCGCCTCATTATGGCGCAAGAAAGGGTGGCGAACAAAACTCGGGTGTACTAAGCGGTTTTTCCTGTTTCTCCCAGACACCCTAAAAGAATTACGTGTCAATGTTCATTATAAACCTTACGAAAGTTACTCTTATCCGTTTCAATAACATTTTCAACTGTATCAGAACCCATTGAAAAATACAATGAAACATCCAACATTCGTTACCCATTACATTAATCGCATTCAATTTCTGTAATGCCATTCCCTTTTCTTCCTTAAAATACAACAAACTTCACTAGTCAGTTGGCAAACAGATATTACCTCTTTGCGCTCGAGAGGTGACTCTTATTCACCATCGGATATCATACACTAAAACTATAAAATTTGATATTTAATACTACACCTTGTATAATGCATCAATTTGAGAAATATTGAAGTAAAATAGTTTTGTTCCCCAATAAAATATCGTCTTTATCTCATCAGAAAATGTTCAAATATTTCTACTGAAAAACTTCCGAGTGAAAAGGGTTAATCTAATATCAATATAAACAAACATCTGAATACGTCAAACTTAAAATTAAATTATATCCCAGAGAACTCATAAAATAAACATTTATCCTCCATTCTATATTCTCTACAAGTCTATAATGCTTCAGTAATATATTATATACAATTAAAATTTATTTCGATTAGTGGGAACGCAACCACCTCGTATTATTCGACGAAGCCGCACGTCTCTATTGTTTCACGGTAAATTTTCGCCGACCGATAATAGTATCGCCCTGCGTGGCCCGACACTCGAAAGGGTGAACGCTGTCCGCGGGGGAAATAGAGACAGCAATTGGCGCGTGTCATAACGTTTTAACGCGTATTACGATGTTTGAGCCGGTCGCTGTCTAAATATTGGCTCCGCACCGGCCGCGAGTTTGCTAAGCAAAGACAACCGGGTCGACTGTTTGACTTTACTTAGAGTCCACGGATCTCGATTACTGCCTACTCGTTACCTGCTTTACACGGTCCCGCCCGTGTTAACAGGTTTGTCATATAATCCGCGACCAGTCGTCCCGTGTAACGACCAGGCACTTTTAGAACCTCCCCGCATTTTTCATTGCAATTACACGAGCCACGGATTTGCTGCCTCGAACGTCGCAATTTTTCATCCTTTTTCTACATATTAATGCACGCGTTTCCCTTTTACCTGCGCGTTGCATCTGACGTCACCGTGCGCTTAAACATGTCCGATGGTATAATCTTAAAATAACCTTGGACTCTATTATTTTTAATTAAACGCGAAACTTTCTTTCATCCGCGTACGAAGTTCCAGCAACAACCCGGATCAATTAGGAACGAAAAAGAGTGGGAATACGTTCCATCGCTATTGGAAAAACTAATTAGAGGGTTCTCCATTCTGAAACTCGTTAAGAGTAGTTCCGGTGAACTAGAGATCTTCAGACATTCTTGTATTCGATGCAATTTTCGCCGGTAAGTATTATCCAAAATCTCGATGAATTTCTTGTAAAAGACTGCCGCGGAGGTTATTACGCAACAATACCATCAGTCGGTAACGAACAGAATTAATTATCACCCGCGAATAACTAAATTGCGATGACTTTAGTCAATCGTGTGTAGTCTGAACCTAGTGTCGATTGGCAGCGTAAAAGTTCCACTGAATTGACTCCGGGCAAAATCATGGTGCCACCCGTATCCTCGGCCATTTTCAACGGAATGATTCAAACACGGGGAAGATTGTTTAGGTACGAAGGAATAAATTGGGCTCGTGGAGAGTTGCGGCGGTGAATCCGGGAGAAAAATTAGGACGCTTTGACAGGCTGCTTAGTAGCAGGCCCGTAAAAAAGCTCGGCCAAGGGGAAGCAGGAGGGACAGGGGACATAATTACAATGAAAACATCGTCGGCCCCGTCGGCTCGACGTCTTTTTGCCTGTCGTTTTGTTCTCACTCCGGGAGAGAAACGGCCGACAGAGAGGAAGAATAACAGACGAGGGAGGAAGGAACGAGACCGATTCTATTTCGAATCCTGCTG